TTGGGTCCATCTTGGGTAGAGCCATGGCCAGGCTCTTTTACTGCCCAAGGTTTATCCTTTGAAGGCCTTTTTAATAAATACCTGTTTTATTCATTCAACACTGTCTAGCCTCTGTCCCAGGTAACCTCTCTAGGCATCACCCTTAAGCTGTATCAAATTTAGAGGAAATGCATTTGAGTTAGGGAAGTTTGTAATTTTCACACAAGGAGCGTTTGCAGTGAAGCAGCTGACTCGATTTCTGTGTCTGACAGCAGCTGATAGCAGATGTCTAGGGAAGAGTGCAGGAACAAGGTAATAATGTACAATGTTCCCAGAGTGTCACAGTTCAGATAGTCCCTAAGGCAGTTGTGGTGTCTACTGGTTCAAGAGACACTTGAATATTTTTTTCTTTAATGAATTTGTTCATTCACTTTTTAAGTCTGAATGGGTTTACTATCTACCATATCCTATTACAAAATTCCTCCACTGACCCACAGATATAGTAAATTCTTTGTTTCATTTGTGCCCCCTAATTTCTTGTATTTGAAAAGGTGGTGGATAGATTCTTTGTGTGTCATATTTCTGTCATTCATGATACTGTAAAGTTTTCCTGTCTCCCCTAGTTTCATCTTTTCAAGTTGAAAGGCCATGCTCTAGATGTTAATTTGTAGAATTGAAACTGTTCCATAACTTTGAGCATACTTTAAAATGTCACAGTATTTTTTCCAATTATGTCATTATTTAATTAAAAAATGGGGAGGGAGGAAGGGAGGGAGGGAGGGAGGGAGGGAGGAAGGAAGGGAGGAAGGAAGGGAGGAAGGAAGGGAGGAAGGAAGGAAGGAAGGAAGGGAGGGAGGGAGGGAGGGAGGGAGGGAGGGAGGGAGGGAGGATTTTTTGTGAATATATGAATGACCTGCAAAATAAAAGGAAGTACTTCTTTTAACTGTGATTTATTGATATTGCAGTTATGAACTGCATGACTTTTACTTCCAGGTAGCTACATTCATGGGGCATCATAGAAAATAATTCAGTGGACACTGGGCATAAAGAATGCATTCCTGAGAATTCAGGAAGTGACTGCCAGCGCCCCTTCTCTGCAACATAGTCTAAATACAGGCTACATGAGAAAGGAAATTGTATAGGGTACTACTGTTATGCCACTTTGAGCCCCTGGAAATGTCTTTCTTGTTCTTTTGTAGGTTTTTACTTTTCATTATAGCACTTTGGTTATTCTTTTTAATAGATTATATAATCATAATTGACTATTATAATTTGGAGTACCAGCCTTGTAGATGAAAGGTACACATTTGTTACACTATAATTAGATTGTACATTCTCCTTTTAAGAGTTTTCATTTAATGGCAATTTGCCTGAAGGTTCTCATTTTAATTTAGTTTGGGTGAAACTGAGGGAACTGAGGGATTGCTTTATAAAGAATTGGGGTTTTGTGTGTGTGACTTGTATCCTTTTCAATTGTTTGGGTTTTGTTAATCAGAGATCTCTTTATTGCCATGTGTTTTAATACTTTCACAGTCTGTGAAACTACCATTCTTCCTTTAGCAGTTATTTGGATTTCAAGACAGAGACAAGCTTTCTGCCAGTTGCCAACTGCTGCTGCCTTTGTGGCAGCAGCGAGAAAGCATTACAATAAAAAGCAAATTGTGTTGCTGCTACTGAAAAGCCTGAAAGAAATCAAAGGTAAGGAACTACAATTTTTAAACTGGTCCCATTACTGCTGTGACTCATAGAGGAGCATAACTCTGCTTGCCCGAAGTGGTAGGTTAGTTTGTATGCCAGGTACAGAATCTTACAAAGGCATAGGGGTGAGTTAGCCATGCATTCATGAAGAATATCAGAAAATTACATGCATAGACTGCTTACTGTATGGGGAAACTCACATAGAGGCCTACTTTTTTCATGGGGTTGAATGGCAGAAGAATTAACTTCAGAGTTATGAAGCACAGTCTGCAGTCATTATAGACGCCTGTCACATCATTCTTTTCAAAGAAATAATCAAACTCCACCTGCTCCTAAAAGTTAGGAACTTTTTAATTTCCAGACTTTACTTGCATTCATTCACTTTTGCCCCAACATTGTCTTTTATTTTGTAATCTCATTTCTAATTATTTACCAATCACCACTTTATGTATACATCTGTTCTGTTGCCTCTTAATTTGTTTTTATACTTTCCTAACAGTGCATTTTCTTAAATCCCCATTCTAGTCATGATTGCTGTTCTACTACACTACACTTTTGTTGTATTTATAATACTGATAAAACTTGATTTCATAATTTCCTTAGCTGCTTAGGAAATCTGATCTTTTCCTCTTGTATCTCTCCTCTTGATGTATTTCTTTAGGCATGTGCTTTTCTTCATCTGCATAATTTCTCACATGTCCACTTCTAAAGACTTTGATTTCACTGCGCCTTTGAATAGTAGTTTCATTTGTTTTCATATGAAAGATGATAAAAGGATTCTTGACCCTTCTCCTCCTCAGGACATCTTTCAGCCATCTAATACATTTTCAAATGAATTGCAGCAGCCTCTCCAATTCCTGTATTCTTTTCACATGGACTCTACTAGGTGGCACTCCAGGCATGGATAGCTCCCATCAGGAGCTACTTTAGAATAATGTGCTTTGCATTAAGGCATCTCCACTTTGTCATTCTTTAAATATCTTATGCTGTTGCAGTTTCTCTACCAGCTGAAATAGATAGAGATAGACAGCAGAAGTAAAGAACATAATTTGGCCCAAATTGAAGTAAAAGCAAAAACTGTCATGGCATAATTTTCTTTGAAGAGAACTCACTGATACGCAAGATCAAAGACTAGAATTGTTTTTATTTGTATGCAAATGGGCATATAACCTAGTAATCATCTGATATGCAAACAGACCTGTTGTTTTCACCACTGGAAAATTAGGACTAGAGGAGGTATGTGTCCAAAGTGAATCTGGTGCTAAGTCTGGTATTTGGGAATTTCCTAGATGTTGTCTCATTAATTCAATAAGATTATAAGGTTTTTCATAGGCAGTATCTATCCAGAAACATACGTGTGTGTAAACACACATTCTTCCAATTGATATCACTCTGGAGTGTTATATGACTTCCTTTATCTCAATTGCTTGTATTGCAATGTAGTCCACTTTGCTTGTTTCACATGGTAAAGTGAGGCATCATGAAAATAACTTCCAGCATTACTCAGGAGTCTTATACCAAATGGAAATTTAAGCCATAAACCTAGAAAGCCAAATTTATACAATAATTGCAAAAATATTCTGCAATTGATTCTGAACTGTTTCAGTTTTTACGTTATAATATTGTCTTCATAACACAATATTGTCTTTGAACCACCTATTGGTCCCTTTGCTCTTTTAATTCATTTTAGTGGTGTTCATTTGAAAACACAAGAAGAAGTTGCACAGAAGATAAATTTAAAATAAAATGTTCATAATAAAATCTAATATGGTGCCTGTGGCAATTTCACATGGGAAAATAAGATGTAGCATAGTACCAACCATCCTTCAGAGAAACATCTCATAATGATTAACTAAGACTTAAATTCATATGAAAAAACCATAAAAATTAGCTAAGTGCATACCACATTCTAACCCTGAGATGGCTTTTATTTTTGACATTTGGCTATTTCCTTAAGCTTTCCACTAGAGATTTATGAGATCATTATCAGCTGCTCATAAGGAAAAGGAGAACATTAACAGGACAAAGTAGTCTTCCATCTATGGGTCAGTGAATCAAACTGAATTGTTTAAATTCTTCTTGAAGTCAATAAGCCAGCAGGAAAAGCCCATCCTGAAGATCTAAGGTCTCCAAAACAATCTCTTGATGTCCCAAACAGCTGATAGGCAGTCCACGAGTGTCTGTGTTCTGCTCCTTTCTCCAAAGACATGACCATGGCTGTTCTGGGAATCTTTCTCAGTAAAACAGAAAGACAAACTAGAACATAGATAACACTTTCTACTAGAGACAGAGGTAATAGACAATATTTACAATTTAATCTTTTTGATTTGCTGTGACTACTTGTCTCCAGTGAGGATTTAGCTACTGTGTTTCACACTTGGGTCAATGCAGTTCGTTCTTTCTGGCACTGAACTGGAAAAGTATTAAGAAATTCCACCTGTGCAAGACACAACACCACAAATCTCCTGGGAGCATACCAGGTGCTGTCCTCCACGTTCCTTACAGACCCTCCAAAAGAAAAGCATTGCTAATCCAGCAGCCTGTTCTCCATTCTTACCCTAGGAAAAAAACTGCTCTCCATGGAAGCCCAGAGACTGCAGTGCTTCACTGTGAAGCACTCAGGAGCTGAGATCAGACTGTTCTTGGCAGAGAGCCCTATGCTGTGTTACTTTGTGCCAGAGCTGATTAGAATGAGTCTGATCCCAATCAATTTCAGATCACAATGCTGAACGTGATCCTTCTGCTGAGCCCTTCAATAGGTAACAAAGATAGTCAGAGAAACTTTCAAAGGTACAGATCATCCAATAAAGTCACTTGACCTCAGAAGAGCAGAGGTTTTTTACATACAAACTGAGGCAAATCTCATACAGGGTATCAGAAAATGTTTGGTGAAGAACACAACAGGAGGCATACTGATGCTATTAAAAATGTAAATTTAATTTCCAAAATAGTTCCAGAGAGACTTTTATTTTTCACATAGCCACAATTGAAGAGGAAAAGGGCATTTGCTAAGGGTGACCTCTGCTATGATAGCTTTCAAATGCTGTGAGTAGGGTGTGCTCCTGGCAGATGGAAGAAGTTGTCCTTTATGCAGGCCAGCTTTGGGTTTGAACCCTGATGCCACACGCAGCTGAATGCCTTTTTTGCATTCTGAGAAAAAAACCCCAACACTTCTATTTCCAGTCACCCTAAATTAAGACTCTTTTCTAACTTCTCAACTCAGCTCCTTTTGTGAAAAAAAATCAATTACATTTACTACTAAATCTCAATTTTGTGACTACTGCCTAGATAATTTGCTGATGGATACATTAGGAATGTGTTATCCCACTGCAGGCTCCTTTATAATGGCAAATGCTCCTCTGAGGAGAAGTTGATACCCAGAATCTAGCCATAACATTTATAAATACAACCCGAAAATGTAGTTGAGACTGAATTTTGTACATTGCACATGCAGATGAGGAGGAGGAGAAAAGATTTTACCAGAAGAGCTTCTCTTAGCAAGAGATCTTATCAAGAGAAAGGAGAAAATATCCCCCCAACCTTCAAATTATACAGGCCCTGAAGCATTGATATGCACTCTGTTTTAAATTATTGTAGATTTTTAGACTTTTTAAGAACTAATTCCAGGGCAGAGGTGACTGATTTGCAAATACTCTTAAAGACATGATCATTAGCTGTATATTATTGGAGCTCAAAATAGAGTTTAATGAGCCAGGAAGAAAGATAAATTGCTGATTTCAGCTGAAAGACTATAGTAGCTACAGCAAGTATGTGTTTGAAACATTTGTCATTAATTAGGTATCGTCAGTTACCTTCTGGATGAAGGCAAAGCCATCTTGGGCATCATAAAATCCATGAGCTGCAGTCTGTGTCTCCAGAATTTGATAATCCAAATTAATCAACTGGGCAAAACTCTCTTCCAAACCATTAGAGCTATTGATTCATCTGAATCTATAATGTGTTATTAAATTTTCATTTTTTGTAAAGATTGTTGATTTATATTAAGGAGAAAAAAAGGGAAAAATTGTATATAGCAAGCAGTTAGGTTAGAAGAATATCCAATAAAGAAAGTCTCTCAGCACACAGGGAGAAGCAGAAAGCATACAAGGTAGTGCTTCCATCCAGTATTGCATAGGATTTCATTGATTTAATGAAACATTTGGTCTCTGCATTGGTGTCTGCATGAGCACACCTTTCAAGAGGGAGAAAAGAGACAATACACCATTTCTATCTGCCTCACAAGGACAGGTAAATTATTTAAATTCAACTTCTTGAAATAAATCCCTATTACTTGTAGGAGCATAGCCTGGAAAATTGGTTAAAACAAAAAAAAAAGTTCAGCTGCATGCAACCTTCCCTAGTTAGACTTCCCTAATTCTGTTCACTCTTCACTACTGCATGGAATAAAGGGAAAACTCGTTTCACCATGACTTCTCTTTGAATATCTCTTAAGACTTCTTCCATTTGGGACCTAAAAATGCAAAACTAGAATCACATATTCAATATAACAAATTCCAGTTGTCCTAATGCACCTAATGTCTTCTAGGTCCCCCAGACATCAGTAGTTATTAGAGTGGCTCATGACCAGTGGAATGGCTGATATTTTTACCTTGTGCAAAAGGCTGTCTGCTCATGACCAGAGCATGGGGCCTCCAGGAATGTTCTGTCAAAGTCAGAATTTCTGTGGGGCTGCTCTGACCAGTGTGAAGTCAAAGGACTGGACGTTTTGTTTGGTGTGAAGGGGAGTCTTCAGGTGGTACAGAACCAACACAGGAACATCCAAGCCATCAGGTGTTCCTGAGGCTCATTCTGTCTGAGGCTTGGGGTGGAACAGGGCAAAACCTAGCAGCAGGCTGGTGTGCCAGTTCTTGGCTGTGCCAGACATACCTCAGCTGCAGCTGACAACCTGGCACAGGGGCTCAATTAATCAAGAGAGGTTATGTAACAAGCACAGAATTCCAGGCAGAAAAATTCAAACGTATCTGCGCATGAAACCCTCATTGTCCAGTCCAGTCACCTCTGCTCTGCACCAACTGCTTCTGTGAACAGTTTTTCAGCTTATCCTCAAATGTATCTGTCCTTGATCATTTAATCAGTCTTTAAAGCTCTGTGATGTTATTGATCCCACTCATGCCTCCAACATGTGTTTCCAATGGAAAATCCAGCAGAGAGGAAAAGTGCAGAATACCTTTTCATCATCTGTAAGAAGAAAAAGATGCATTTTTCTCCTTTCTGATTTTATAGTTTGTTGTATAATAGCAATAATCTCTTTTGCTTTCATATACTTGCAATAAATGGCTTTTGAGATCGATGAAACGTCTGAGCTTCACTTTGGCTATTAATCATTCTTAGGAGCATTTTATTGCTTCATATATTACAAATAATAGAAATTATTCCTTAAACCTACCCAGATAGCTGAGGACTGCAAATTTCAAACCTAACTCTGAGAGACAGATTCACTGTTGGCAATCCCTGTGCTGTCTTTTATAAGAGTAAGTAATAATAACAGCACTATGCTTTCCACCTGCAGGTTTCAACCCCCACTATACAATGCATTAAGGAAAAATGAACCTTGCTTCTCTGTTTGAAAGAGGGGACAAGGTGAGTTTGTGGGTAAGAAATACCTGTGAAGACCTCTCGCCATTTTTTTCTCATTATCTGAGAAAGCAGCGTTTGTAACCTGGCAGAGTTTCTAATACCTGGTCTTGGTGCCATCCTGCTAACAAAGCTCCTTGGGAGCCAAGTCTCTGGCTGCAGGTATGGGAACACTGCCCAGCAAGAGCAGCAGTGTGGCTGTTCCCCATCAACATCAGCAAACCTGGAGTGAAACAAATATTCACTCAACAAACTTGCTCCACATATTGCTTAATTTGACCAGTTTTCATTTTCTCCTTCTGCCTGGGGTCTAATCATGGCTTTTTGGGTATGCATGAATTAAAATGGACAGTGACATCAAAGGAATGAAATTCCCTAAGAGTTCAGTTTGAGAAAATATGTTCCAACCCTGAGAACAATAGTACTTGCCTTTCACAAAGAAAGAATTACCATGAACTGGAGCACAGTGTGCTATTCTCTGCTATTAGAATCTTCTGCATTGACGTATGTCTGCATCTTGGATGCCTCTGCTTTGATCATCTATCATCCTTTATTGCAATAAAAATACAGAACCTGTTTCTCAGTTCAGTGAAATTCCATATTTGTTTACTCAGGTGATTACATCAGTGTAATTTCTTTGTGTCCACATGAGATTTACCAAATCTAGTAAGATCCATCATTGTGACTCCCGTGGCAATGCCCTCTCTTGGAGCATCGTGAGCAGTTGGTTGCTAAAGAGCAACCAGAGCATTCTCACAGCATGGCACAAAACACCTCACTATTGCCACAGGCTGTGTGTGAATCCTGGCTGTCTGGAAGGATTCTGTGTGTGAATCCTGCTGTTGGGAGCTCAGAGAAATAACTGAAGGCACCTTGTTTCCCCCATGCACTGCATCAGGGTAAGGACAGACCTGAATGCCAGGTCCACCAGCAGCACTGACAGTGAGAACACGCTGGGTGTGCACTCTGCTCTCAGTTTGACAGCACTGCAAATACAGACCTCCAAGTTCTAAAGACTAGCAGTGAAATAATAAGAAAATGGGATGTTCACTCACCTACTTTTATGCAAGTTACAGAAAGTCAAAAAGAAATTGGGCTGGGATGTCACAAGTCCTTTGTTTGGGCCTCTGCCAGCATGGAAAAAAAACGGGGGAAAAGCAGCTTTGATTGATATGACAGCATTTTCATGACAGTCTCAGTGACTGGCCAGGGATCTTGTTTGTTTGTTTGATAACTAAAGGACAGATTTAAATTTCTTCTGCCATGTCTACTCTGGGCACTCTACTTTTCAGTGTTACATAGTCTTGAACATTGCATCATGCTTCTAAAACTTTATCCAAGTTAGCTACCTCAATACCCAGAGTTTATTTTAATGTTTTCTGCAATTTAACAATGATCCATCCTGCTGAGCCTAATTCTGCAGGCAAAATAGGTCCATACTATTAATGACAGCAATTTTATGTTATTGTATTACACAGTTGCAACAGGCAGTGTGTGAAAAGAACACTGGAAAAAGTCTACTTTAAAACTTCCCTGCTTTTCAACAAATCCGTTGTTGTACTGCATTTCCACTAGCCTTACATGACACATTCTGCCACCCTCTAAATTACCTATGTCTTAACATTGCCTTTGTATTCTATGGATTACTTCCCTTTGAATATTAGGAACCATATTTTAATAAGGGAAGCAGAGATGGTTTTCTTTTTATTCTCTGTCTTGACAGAAGAGAATCAGAAAGGGAGAACTGGTTTCTGTTCCTTATGCATCACTAGCCAAATTGTTTCCACATTTCCAGTCTAATCTAAATTACACTTGTGTGATTCCAGACCATGAGAGAAGAGATGCAAGACTCAAAATTGAGAGACCTTTTGTAGCTTGCTCTTGAAAGTTTCAAAAAGTAATATTGGACTCCTCCAGGCTCCCTTCTCTCCTACCCTCTTTTCCAAAAGACATTTGTTAGGGATGTAGGAGGTGATTGTTCATGCAGCTCAACAAGGTCTTGCCAGACCTCCTCAAAACTGGGTTAAGTGCAGATCCTCCCTATAACCAATGAATACATATTAATCATATTAATGAAATAATATTTTACCTTCACCTGTTTGAGGAGGAATATGAGGTCTCTTGCCCAATTATAAAAACCGATGACCATCTCAAATTAGAGATCCAGTAAGTTCAGTTATTCTGTCTCTGCCACTGGTCAGTGGTATAGGCTTAAACAAGAATATACAGCATGTACAGCAAGAACACAGCATTCTAGAAATCAGCATTTTATTGTGATTACAAAAAGACCCTTGTTAACTAGTGAAGAGAGAAAAGGAGTCTGCAAAGATGAGTTCTCTAAATGACTCTTCCCTTGAATTGCTTTGTGCCCTCAGGCAATTCTCAAAGGTTATGACTCATTTACCAAGCTAGTATGAAAATATTCGTCAGACTTTGCAAGTTGCTAGGGTCTCAGTGCCCTTCTGAAGCTGTGTGTCACTGCAGCAAAACTTGTGAGACAACAGCTGCAAAATCTGCTATGGCCAATAAGGGGAAAATGTGCCTTAGAAATGCTCTCACATCTTGAAAACCAAATAGACAAATGAGGTTGTAAGCTTAGATCCAGGGGAACTTTGCATGGAGTAGAAATGACAAATTAGAGCTATGTAGTAATATTAAAGTAACTTCTTTTGTTTATATTTTAATAAAAATAACAGAAGAGATAGTGGGCAGAGAACAATAGAATAAGTACCTCTCAAACAAATGTTTAACAAAAATTAGCAGTCCCATGACATAGACAAAGAAACTAGTTTCACTTCATTTGAAACACTAAGGTTTTTCTCAGGACTTGTTATGTCCAAAAGTCTTTACAGCATTTTAAAGGAGTATGCTATAAATTCTTTCTTAGCAAATTTACAAGATTTATGAGTTTTTCTTTATTTGAAAATTGATTTCAGAAACCTCTAAGGTATACCACAGTTAGGCTTTTGGAACATTATTTATCATTTTTCTATTTTGAAGATGATATTGTGAATCCATCAGTATGCCCTCTTGTTTCACAGTAGTTTCCCGAGATATTTTTTAAAGAGTTTTACAAAATTAGAAAAGAGTAATATAGTCCTACAGAAAAGAACTGTACCTTATGGTATCTCTCTTAATTTCTATTTATTCTTCCATCTCCAGGAAAAATAATAAAAATGAAAAAAGCTAATTTATACAGAGAATTGCACATATAAGTGGAAAAAATATGTATGTTTTCTTACTATATTCCAACAAATTGCCTATTATCCATCAATAATATTATCCAGTCATGTGGAATATTAAATAATAGGTTGGCTGCCTTCCATAGATTTCATAGAATTTTCCTTTTATACTTAAAAAAGTTTTACAGCTTCAGTGAGAAAAAGGTCAATCAGAAAAGTCAAATAATTTTCTTCACTATGTTAGAGATTTTTACATATGTATATCTTATATAATGGAGTTCTGTCTTGCTTCATTTGATAGGCTCTCCTCTTCTGCTTTGTCTGCTACTTAATATGGTGATATATTTTCCTCTAAAACCTTCCAAGCATCTTTCAAATTATGAAAAATACATTTTGTTCATTATAAAACTGTAATTTATCTAGTGATAAATTGCCACACAACTCTTAATACATGTGTAGACCAGTATGTTTCCCTTGTTCTTTAGAGTATCATGGTCAAAGCTTATAACCACTGCATTCGGTTTTGCTCAGAAAGGTTCCCCTTCAATATCTCCTGTCATATAAAGTATATACAAGGTTTTTTTCAAACCATTGCTTGATCAGCAAATTTCTTCTTATCAAAACCAGTGTGATGGCAACAATCTCATCAGATGGGTTTGCTTGTACAGAAAAGTTGACCAGAAATGTTATTTTCCAAAATATATTTTTTCTAAAAAAGCCATTTTCCAAAGTAATAGTTTGCTTTTTGAGCACAGTGTAAGAGGGAATGCATTCCAAACAATTTTGTTGTATACATTTCTCTGTGAAGAACAGGAAATGAAATCTGCTCTTTGCCTCAATCTTTTGAGAGCAGCATGAAAGTCCCTAAATGAAATGGCTGGGATCACAAGCAGCTGTGGCACATGAGCTGCCTCCAGCCACAGTAAATCATCAAGTCACAATATTGCAGAGTCATAACAGGTACTTCCCAGAATATTATTTCTTGGCTCAATAGACTCATATGCTTTGGTTATCTATTAGAAACTAGGGAATTCCACCTGCAAATCCATCCTCTAAGTGTAATTTCATTAGTACTTTCATTATAGTTTGCTATAGTTTCACTATAGTTTGTGCAAGGGACATAGTAACAGTCAAGTTAAAGAGAATGTTCTTATGGTTGTCTGGAAAGTGGTGCAGACCACGAGTCACCAAACCCAGAAAGTAAATTCTGCTGTGTCAGGCAATCTGTTTTATTACTAGGTCTCTAAAAGCACAAAAATAGTACAGTAGAAGAATGCTCTTACACAACATCAGCATAACTGGTAAAAATCTAGAAGGGCATAACCAGAATATCTGACATATTATAGCTGCATAAACTATAATATGTCAGCGCAGTTGCCAGCTCTTTAATGCCAACATCTGTACTAATAGTGGACTATCAATACCATTCTTTCTTTTTAATTAAAAAAAAATAGGAAGAAAAGTAGAAAAAATAGTAGAAAAGCCAGATAAATCTTACATTTCATTTTGAATAATGTTCCGAAAGTAATTCTTGTTTTATTGTGCGCGTGCCTGCTCACCTGCTGAGGTCTGTATCTGGGAATGAAACTGAAAGTTTGGTTGGACTTGATCTCAAAGCTCTTTTCCAGCCTAGTCAACTCTGTGATTGAGTGATTACAGGAGAGAAGTGTTCTTTGGTTGAATTATATCATTACATTATATATTACATTTCTTCATACTATGGCAAATGGCAAGCAGCATTGAAACACAGCTTTCATTAATTTCCAACTAAATTAATTGCAATGGGTGCTATGCTCTGCTGTCATGAGTTATGTAACCATAATGCAGTGAGTGACACTTAACTTGAGTGATTCATCAGAAAATCAGGGCTACCAGCCTCCTTAGATACCCAGTGGGTAACTGAGTGTCAGAGCTGAGTGTCCTGGTACTGTTCAGGTGATAGGTGTGACTTGAATACTGCAGTGTTTCCATCAAAGAGCAGGTTAGGGCTGGAGTTCAGAAAACCACAAAGCCCAGAGCCCCAAGCACACTGCAGCTGCAAAAGGCATGCCAAGGGGAACAGAGCAGAGCATCAGCAACTCACCTGAGCAGAAATGCTGCAGCTTAATTCCTTCACTTCAAGGGAATGAGCTTTCCCACTCCAGGCTCTCTCCCTCCCAGCGCCAGAGCATTATCTCCGGCAATAAAGGACACCATTTCACGCATCATCACCTCCCTGGCCAAGGTGGTAAGGCAGCCCCACTTCCATCAAGCCCCGGTTGTTCCCCAAACACAGAAGAGGGGGTGCATTATAAAGTGGATGAAGTGCCATGCATGCCAAGGATGACAAATTACCATGACACAGTGAAGTAATATCAACCACCACAATAATAAAAGGATCAAATAGAATTTGTTCGTTAAAGGGGTGTGAGTGTATTGTTTGACCAGAGTTTTGTTGTGCACAAGCACCCTGAAACTCCCATGCTGCTCTTCCTGCTGGCATTTATCTGCTCACCACAGCTGAAACCTGTGATAATAAGCAAATTGCCACCCAATCCTCATCAAATCTCTAAGTTCAGCCATCTGTGTGTTCTGAACCCAGAATGCATGGCTGGGCTCTGAATTTCCTGGAACTTAATCAGAGGATTCTGAGTAAAAGTGAGACATAGACACATGGAAATGTAAGGGGAAAATGCATTTATAAAGGTTGTTAAATGATTTATGTCACGTTAGTTGTTTTAATGCTTAACTTAGTGCATCTAGGGAACTATTTAATTAAGTTTTCTCTGAAAGAGCCCAACTATTAGCATGTTATAAGAGGACTGGGAAATGTAACTATATTCTCAGTTGAGGCTTTAATATAAATATGTAATATTGACCTGCCTGCCTCCAAGTAAGATACTAAGGAATGAATTTATAATTGTCTTTAAAAAAATCAGCATAAAAATTCTGGAGAAACACAAATTAAGATTTGTTGAACTAATATTCCTCATGATCCACTTTTGAACCCATCAGTCATTTTTTGGAACCTTCATATAAATTTGATTAGGAAACATCAATCAAATTATTCCTTAGTACTATCATGTTTATTTATTAATAATAGTGAAAAAGCCATGTTTCCTAGAACAGGACAGTAATTAAGTTACACCAAAATTTGGTATTCTCCTCATCCAGTTCTGAGATGCTTTCGGGCAGCACCCAAGGTTCTCTGTCCTCAATTTTCTTTAAAGTCTTGTTATGTGAACATTTTCTACTTTATCATGGATTATTTTATGCTCTATCTTTGCTTCCCTTTCTGTTCAGAAAGATGTTGCTCAAACAAAAGTACAGGTAGACCTCATGTTCTTAGGCCAAAATTGCCATTAAATACCATGGTATTGCTTACTTCTACTGTTTTATGTAAAAACCGCAACACACATTCAGGTGCAAGGAATGGTGCAAATAAACCAAGATAAAATTATGTACATTTGCATACATTTCAAATTACATCACCACTAGATTATTTGCTTTTACTAAACTCAAATCAGATTTGTGAATAAGAGTTGGTAGATATTTTTGTGCTATTTTTGCAATGATAAATTTTAAAGAGACCACAGACCTTATGAAATCCTTGCAATTCTGAGCTGGGCAGCATTTAGGCTTTGGCCAGCAAGACAGCAAACTCTCTTCATTGCCTTAGCATCCAGGCTTGTCTTGCAGAAATCTTTACTATTCATGGTAAATATGACAATCTTCTCAGTCTGTCTGGAGAAGCTAAAGGAAGAGACTTTTTCTATCCAGAAAGCTGAAAAAAGATATCCAAGAGATTGAAAATAACAAAATTATTCCATTAGTATATATCTCTTACCACCCTTGACCTTGACTTCAGCCAACTTATATTACCCATGTAGCAGTTGTCCATCTATATTTATATAAAACCACAATTGCTGGGAGTAAAAAGATAGAAATAATCTATTCATACACTCACACAAAGTTATAAATACACTTATTGGTAATTTAAATGGAATAGGTTTTACATGTTATCCCCCAGGTCAGTTCTGAAGTCTGAATTTGATTTTTTCCATTGACAGAGAATGTGTGTCTCATGCCTGTGGCTATTTCAGCCCTTGGGAATGATTCCAGTCAGGTAATCAGTTGGGAAAGGTGTGATTTACCAGAGGACTCTTTTTGTGTTAGTTCAAAGGTCTATTAGCAAATACACAGGAAAATTGCAGCTTTGGAGGAACAATAATATAGAGGATTATAAAATGCTGTAATTTAAGACACACAACTCCTTGAAGACCTGAAGTGTTCCTTTTCTAAGTATCATTAGCAGAATTAGAGTAATAAAATTGACTTATTTTAGAATCTGGTCCATCTGGCCCACCATTGTTAATTAGTAAGAATGTTACTAAATAAATAAAACTCCCAATTTCCTTCAAGAAAGGGCTTGCTAAGATCTGAAAATCATGATTTAAAACGTTTCATTATGGTTATGACATATCAGAGAGGTACAAACTATAAAACACATCTGATACATCAATTGCATCCCATCTCTGTAGGCCAGACATGGGATACAAATTTCTAGAGTTGTGAGTGGGATGTTGAAGGATCTCTCATTAATGGAATTTGTGTGAAAAATATAAAGTGGTTTTCTGGGGAAAAGAAAAAGATATAACCCACAGCTTTGCATGAAAAACAATCTAATTGAAACCTTTTATTCAGTAAATCTCACAGAAGCTGCAGGTAGAATTTCTTGAATTGCTAGAATTTCTGCTTCTGAAGAGCTCGTGTCTCAGAAATATGGAAGGTTGCCTCCCTGCTTTTACAAAAGACACAGCTGTGTGTTTCACTGCAAAGTGCATTAAGGCACAAGAGAAATATCTTTCCTTTAGTCTTGCAATGTGTTAAGCATACCCCAGGTATGTAACAAATAATAAATAAAATAACAGTGTAAGTGTGGCTGGGATTAGAATACTGTTACTGTTCTCTGGAGTCTCTGTCATGCTCTTTCATCTCACTCTTGACAGCTCACTTGCCAGTTCACATCATAGTTTGAGAAAGATCTGCCAGAACATCAGCTACACATGAGAACAAGAAACGCAGGATCTATTTTTTATTAACTTGCTCTTTGCATTGGTGAATCTCAACAAGACCTTTGAATACAGCTTGTGAGTACTGACCAGTGCAGAAATGGAGTGCAGTGTCTAACATTCCTTTCCCATGAATTCTTAATCTGTCTTCTGAAGGAACTGGCAAAATACATATTGTCAAATCTTTCCTGCCCTTTATCTGCTTTAATCCTTGCTTGTGTATGACTATACTGCATATTTTAGAGAAGCCTGGAGAGGAGGTCTGCTTCTAACCACAATTATCTAGGATGTAGCAATTTGGCACATACAGGAAGATGAATGCAAACTGTATAATAAATCCTGGGACTCACATGGCATGGCACTGATGGAGTTAAACACAGTCCCAAGCACTGTGATTGCTCCACCTTTATATTTTATCTGACAGTTCTCTTTCTCTCCCTGGATTGTCATGTAGCCCTTTTGCTCTGTCTGTTCACATTACACAGTAACTCCTCTGGTGTCTCTTTCAATTTCTTCCATGCAAATGCATTCCCTGTCACACATTAAAATTTGTGCACAGAAGATTTCCTTAGGCTCACTGATGCTTTGGCACACCTACCTTTATTAAGAAATACATAATAATAAAAAATGCCAATTAATAAATATCTAGCCAAAATATGGGGAGCATCTACAAAAGTAGACATATTGGTCTTAAGACACTGTTAACATAACATTTCCCTACGGAGAGCCCCTGAATTCTTCCATGTCTGAACTGGTTTCAGTGTTTGTATCAGCAAGCAGAGGAACCTCCAGCAACATAAAGTGATGGTGACAAAGGATTTGCTGAGGAAATAGATTCAGATTTGTGAGAAAAGACCATACCTGTCCTCAGGCAGGGCCAGACAAAGAAAACATTACCTCTAGGACTACAGGTTATATTGCTACATCCAGAGAGACTTGGTGGCTCTCTTAATCTCCAAGGAGAATTGGCAGGTAAGATTTGATATGAAGACATTCAAGTCTTGAGAGTGAGAAGTTAAGATATCCCTGAATAAGTCTTTAGTGCCCCTCCTCTTTCCCCAAATGACTTTGGATGTGATTTGAGCTGACACCCACAGTTGTGTGTTTGAACAGCTCTATTCAGTGCTAGGTTACAGTTTACACATCAGCTTCCCAGGCCTAAAAATCATGAAACTCATGATTATGTTTGTCAGCCCATCCTGAGTTTTTACTTCATTCTGAAATTCATTGAACAAGAAATATTGAGCACTTCTTTCCCCCTTTCAGATCTCTTACATGTACAGAAAAATGTACTGAATAATGTACATTCCTCCCAGAGGATTTGTATCTCTGTATCAGCGATAGCTCGTAAAACAAAAGCTTATTTTAAGAACTTTGCACAACTAAGTTCTTGCTTGTTAATATATGGTTTTGTCCTTTTTGATTTTAAAACACATAAAGGCAACATAAATAAAAACACATGTAAAAGAACTCTATGATCCAAATATTTTCCACAGAAAATTTAAACATTTAAAATGAATGAATTCTGAAAGAAACAGCTTTGAGTGTTATTGACTGAAAAAGCAGATGGTGCAAGGATACATTAGTGTCACAGAGCATTACCTTCATCCTTAGGAGCAGAGATGGCATCTCAATGATGAACTGAGCTTTTTTCAATGCTTTCTAGGTGGTTCAAGTCATAAAACATAAACCCCCCTGTTTCTTACTGAAGTTGTGTACCAAAGAAATTAATGTATGATTTAATATATGATGTTTGCATATAGATTACTTCTCTAAGGGGAAAATTCAGCTTAAAGCTGATTTTTAAACCTAAAACCTTAAAATAGGGTGTAAGTATGACTTAAATAATGCATGAACCTTAAACTAGCCTTTGCAGAAGGGTAAATTCAGTTTCTTTAATCCTAACACACTAGAAATGTTTTTAATTATAGGGATGATAAAGGTTTGGCATATGAAGATACCTATTTGTTTCTTTCAATTTGCTGTCTTTCTAGAAGCCTGAATATTTTTCTATTGCATAGCCATGTGAAATATGCTAATAAAATAATTATTGAGCATTTTAAAACAATGTTTACAATTATCCAAATGTAATGTGCAAATCTGTGCCAGCTCCAGATTGCATTCTGTGAAAATGTGGTGCAATTAGAGAATCTGGTGCTTTTGAGATCTTATCACTCTCTACAGCTCTCTGAAGGGGAGGTTGTAGCAAGAGCACTTCTGCCAGGTTACAAGTGGCAGGAGAAGAGGAAATGGCCTCCAGTTGCACCAGAGGCATGGTTTAGATTAGAGATTAGGAAATATTTCTTCACTGAAATGGTGGCCAGGCATTGGAGCAGGGAAGGGGAGGAATCAGCATTGCTGGAAGTGTTGATAAAATGTGTGCACTTGATGAATGGTTTGGTGGTAATATGGTGGTGCTGGGTTAAGAGCTGGGCTTGATGATCTTGGAGGTCTTTTCCAGGCTTAAGACTCTTTTTTACTAAGGTTTACAGTGTCTTACCCTAGCTCTACCATTCCCCAACCCAGAAAGCAGCAGCAGCCAGGATGAGACAGGGAGGAAGCTCCCCCTTCTCTCCCATCCAGGCAAAATTTTCACAAGAAAAACAAACTAGAAAAAAAAAACCCACATGAACAAACCAATTAAAGGAATCCAATTCATCACAGAAATACATTCCATGAAAATAAAATTATTTTTATTAAGCACATTATACTCAGTTAAGCACATTATTCTCAGTTTCCTTTACAGCAGTCTTAAGATATTTTGCTAGACAGACTGCAGGAATATTAAATACCTTTTTCTGGCTTCACTCTCAGGTCACCCTTGCCTCTTACACCATTTTCCATCTTCTCAACCTCACAGGAATGGACAAGCCTGTGTCACTGTGTGACTGTGATGGAACCAGGAAGTGTTCCCACTCCAGTATGACACCTGAATCTTCATTAACTTTCACCTACTTTAAAAGAAACTCCTCAGGACAAAATTCAGCACTCCAAGTGTGTGTAAGCGTTCCCCAGGGCTTGCAGTGCCGCCAGACACTGAACGTGTGTCTGGATGGCTCCGCACGGAGAGCAGCTGTGTGCCAGCAGGATGGAGGAGCTGGGTGGCCATGTGAGTCTGTCTGCTGCCTCCTGATCAAGGTTAAAATCATTTATACTAAACTGCCATCTGAGACTGGGCCCTGATCCAAGCATGCACACCAGCCTGCAGTGTCCTTCTGCTAAAGAAGATGCTGAGAGCGCAGGGCCTCGCCCTCAGCACAGGGAAATGTCTGTGTGCCTGTGTCTAAATTTCTCGTGCATTTCAGAGGAGAACGTGGCATGAAGACAAGCCCATGGCAGCGCTTGGTATTTATATACAAACCTTTGGAGCTGGGGTGTACCTGCTGCTTCCAGGAACCCACTAATCACGCCTCAAAGACAAACAGCCCAGCTATTCCTTAAAAATAAACAAGGGAGATTCTGGAGATCTCTCCAGACTGTTCAGCCTTCCTCTGCCTTGCACCATTTACCTTGTGGTAATTTTGAACTATTCACATAAGGACTTCCATGAAACCATGGAGAAAGATCACTTGTTCCTGTATGTCTGTCACCCTCTCTTTTATATCACAACTGGAGGAACATACAGGAGCAATAGGGAACTTTATTGTGGGATGCTATTAAAAAAAGGGAATGAATTTATTTGCTTTAGTTCCTGAAGTGTTTTCTATTACTA